TCTGAAGTACCCAGGTAGTTGCCTCTCACCAAAATAACTTCTCTGAGAAAATAGGATGTTCTTTCTAGGACTTAAAGCCCAAAAGGGATTAGTGGAAGTTTTGAAGCCCATCAAAAGTGAATATGTATTCTGCAGTATCAACTAAAATAGTGTTAGAAATCATTAAACAGTAGTACTATACATGCATGGAATTACCAAATCCAAACAGGACTTTTACAGAGTCAGTTTTGGGCTCAAAGTCTTCTGAGCAGGTGGCTCTAATTTCTTCCTCTTTCAGAGCATCAGTGCACATTGGTACATGTAGGGAAGGAACATGGCTTGTAACAGGAACTAGGAGACAGGGGCAGCCTGGACTTCCGTTAGGCACTCCATCTGTGCTATTTTTTTTTTTCTATTGGCATTGACATTGGTAACATTGGCTATAGGGAATTGTGTGTGGTACATTTGAATTTCCCAGAAAGTGCAGACTTTGAAGAACTGTGTTCATTCTGATATTGGGATGAGGAGATGTCCCAGGCACATCTACTGACTGGTCCTGGCAGTTGCTGATACAGTGGTCTCATTCACACTCCCAAAGGCAAGAATTTACACTGGAAACCATTAACCCCCACTTTCCAAAGCGAAGACACTGTTAATGCTCTGATGGTGCGAAAATACCTCAACTATCTTGGCTGAGAGAAGGGGCTGCAGGTTTTTAAGAGAGCAGCTATTATCCTCATCCCATGTAGTCACACTGTCCAGCGACAGGACTCAACATTCTAGCTTTTCTCACTGTGGAAAGGAAATGTTACTGTTTAATTCATATCCAAAGTTATAAATACAGCTTGTAAATTTTACTAACTTGTTTCATTTTTGTTTGTTCTTTGAGAAGTTCAACTTGCATTTTGTAGATGGTAATTTCTGGTGTCGTTCTATTATTATTTTTTTTTGTATGAAATTGCTGTGTTTGTTAAAGTTTGTTCGTTTTGTGGTTTTTAATTCCCATTGGTGCACTATACAATGGGGTGTTGTAGTGAATCATGAAGAAAGAAATAACATGCAGATGTGTTATGGAATGTGTTTTATTTTCAAATGAATGTGGTGTTGACAATATATTGATTTATCAAGATACTAAGAGAAAATTCTAAACTTACCAAAATGTG